GTTGGTGTCTCTGACAGCACAGGGTGGTTGGTGTCTCTCTGACAGCACAGGGTGGTTGGTGTCTCTGACAGCACAGGGATGCACAGTGTTCCTGGTGTCTCCTCTGTCCCACAGTGTCCCGGTTTGTGAAGTACACCGGCTATGGGAATGCTGCGGGGCTGCTGGCAGCTCGAGGCCTCATGGCCGGGGGCCGGGAAGAGGGCGAGTACTCGGAGGATGAGGACACGGACACCGAGGAGTACAAAGAGGCCAAGCCCAAGTAAGAATCCTGGTCCCTGGCCAGAGCCCCCCTGTTCCTAAACCACCTCCCAGTCCCCTTCTGTCCCTGTCTTCATCTGCTCTCTGCCATCTCCCTTGTCCTGCCCGTTCCCATGCACTGTGTGTAGGACACGCAGGAGCAGCAGCTCCCCATTGCGCTGTGCTCCTGCCCTTGCAGCCAGTCCTGACCCTGTGCTCCTCTGCTCAGGAGAACCCAGCTCTTCAAGGAGCCCTTTGCTCACTGCTCTGCTTTCCTCCTGCTCTGCCCTCACCTTGCTCTTCTTGCAGCATTAACCCGGTGACGGGCCGAGTGGAGGAGAAGCTGCCCAACCCCATGGAGGGGATGACAGAGGAGCAGAAGGAGTACGAGGCCATGAAGCTAGTGAACATGTTTGACAAGCTGTCCAGGTATGGGGAAGCTCTGTCTCTGTCTCTGTCTGCATTAGCACCCCTGTGTCTGGGGGCTGCCTTTGCCACAGGCCTGTCTAAGCCACCACTGGAGGGAGGAGAGGGGGAGTGGGAGATAAGTGGGGAAATGGTTCCTTGAGCTGGGCCCCACTGGTGCAGGGGAGGCACCCCCAGCCCCACACACCCCTGTACTGTGAAATCCCTCCATGTGCTTCTGGGGACCCCGAGCATGGATCACTTGTGCTCCCAGCCATCCCCTCCCCATGCTGGGGCTTTATGGCCAGAGGGGTCCCCTGCTTCTCCAGAGGGGTTCTTGGTGCTGGCCTGGGGTGGTTCTGGGCTGCCTGGGCCAGGCCCCGTGTCCCTGCTGTAGCCCCGGTCCGGTTCCCTGCTGGCTGCTGCAGCGCGGTGCCTCCTTTCCCCTGTCCCGGCTGCAGGGAGCAGGTGATCCAGCCCATGGGCATCACACCCGGCGGCAGCCTGGCCCCCATGCACTGCGCCCTGCGTGATGCTGCTGAGGACCGCTCCTCGTCCGACTCGGACCTGGGGCTGGACTGAGATGGGAGCCCCCCCAGTGCTCCAGGATCCCCCAGTGCTCCAGGACCGAGCTGGGAGCCCCCCCAGTGCTCCAGGACCGAGCTGGGAGCCCCCCCAGTGCTCCAGGACCGAGCTGGGAGCCCCCCCAGTGCTCCAGGACCGAGCTGGGAGCCCCCCCAGTGCTCCAGGACCGAGCTGGGAGCCCCCCCCAGTGCTCCAGGACCGAGCTGGGAGCCCCCCAGTGCTCCGGGACCCCCCCAGTGCTCCAGGACTGAGCTGGGAGCCCTCCCCAGTGCTCCAGGACCCCCCCCAGTGCTCCAGGACTGAGCTGCACCAGAGGCTGGTGCTGGTCCAGGCCCCTCACTGCAGGATGTGGATCCAGGCTGGAGCCCTCGGCAGCCCCTCACAGGAGCAGCTCCTGCCCAGGCCTGGCTCCACCGGGAGGGTTCCCCCCTGCACCCTTCGGCAGGAGCTCCCGGTGGGATGTGTTTGATGCAGGACAGGTGCCAGGACCGGGCTGGGGAGGGTCCTGGTCCCAGCACGGGGGCTCAGCAGCCTGCAGAGCACGGTGTGCATGGGGCAGCGCTGTCGGTGTGCATGGGGCAGGGGGGGAGCTGCTCCCTGGGATCAGGGCTGGGAATGGGGGCGCTGAGCGGTGCCTCCCAGCGGTTCTGGGGTGCAGGTGGGGGTGGCTGTGGCCCTGGGAGTGCAGGAGTGAGGGCAGCCGCAGGGGTGCACTGCAGGGGGCAGGTAACCCTTGTGTGAAGCTTCCCCCGTCCCCATTGCCCCCCGTCCCCGTTGCCCCCGTCCCCGTTGCCCCCGTCCCCATTGCCCCCGTCCCCGTTGCCCCCGTCCCCGTTGCCCCCGTCCCCGTTGCCCCCGTCCCCGTTGCCCATTGCCCCCGCTCCCATTGCCCCCGTTCCCATTGCCCCCATTCCCATGCAGTTCCCACCCACATGGGAAGCTCACCCATGCTGACCAGCAGCACACTGGCGCTGTGCAGGGCTCCTGTGACCTCCCAGCTCAGCCTCTCCATGGGCCTTTCCCCATCGTGAGCTCCCCAAGGGGGCTCTGTGGGCTGCCCTCGCCTGCCTTGGGGAGGTCCCACCCGGGACTGGTGCCCATCGCCCCTCGCTGTGGCTTTGGGTTTGCCCTGTCCTCGTTGGTTTTATTGCTTTTTAAAGAACTGTTTTAAAGGACCCCTTTAGTCCGAGTCGCGTCCCCGAGGTCCCGAACGCCCTCTCACGAGTGGGAATGCAGCAGTGATGCTGGAATAAAGCCACCACAACGAGCTCGTGGCACTGGTGCATGGGCTGCAGCGGCCTGAGCGGGTCAGGGGCGTTCTTTGGCTCTTTGTGCACCCAGTTCTGGTCTGACCGCTCTGAGCTCTGAGTGCATTGGGGAGGTGAAAACACAGCGTTAAACTGGGGCTACACCAGGAGCTTTGCCTGCACCACTCCCAGGTGCAACCCAGGGAGCACCCCAATGTGAAACCAAGCACTGAGGCTGGAGGGTCCTGAGCCAGCCTCAGCGCAAGCGCTGAGCACGCAGTCACTCAGGATGCTCTGGAGCAGTTGATGCTTGAGCCCACTGCTGGCCTCTGCTGTGCAATGGGCACCAACTGGAGCTTCTCACTGGAGCGGGGCTGGAGCGGGGCAATGGAGCTGGTGCAGGGCCTGGAGCCCAAGTGTGATGGGGAAGGGCTGAGGGACCTGGGGGTTCAGATGGAGCAGAGAAGGCTCAGGGGGGACCTGATGGCTGCCTCCAACTGCCTGACAGGAGGATGGAGCCAGGAGGGGCTGGGCTCTGCTCCCAAGGAACAAGGGATGGGACAAGAGGAACCGGCCTCAAGCTGCACCAGGGCAGGGTTAGATGGAGCTGAGGAACAGTTCCTGCCCCAGAAGATGCGGTGCTGCACTGGGATATGCACAGTACCTCTGCTGGGAATGAGCGGGACATCACCATGGTGCTGTGATCCCGCCTCTCCCTGGGGTGGTGCTTACAGGGGGGTAAGGAGCAGTGAGGGGAGCAGTGCTGGGGACAGTGTGTGCCACTGGGGAGATGGAGGCTACAGAAACCCCTGGGGTGAGAGCGGCAGAAGGATGGAACTCATTTATTACTGAATGGGTACCATTGCACTGATTCCAGATGTCAGCAGCTGGGGGTGCCCCCAGTGACCAGGCCCCAGGGCAGCTCGTCCCTATGAGCATCTGTCCCTATGAGCATCTGTCCCTGCATCTGAGCAATGGGCACTGTGGGCCTGCAGAGCTGGCACCTGAGGACTGGGGCCAGTGCCTGAGGAGGAGCTGCGGGAGTGGGAGATGCTCTGCCCCGGGGGGAGCTGGAAGACTTCGCTCCAGGCGCTCCTGCCCTCAGGCCTGACCCTCAGCACTTCCGGCTCTTGCTCCCTGAGAGCCCAGGGCCTGGGGGGGTCCCTGAGCTTGGCTGGCTCGGGCAGAGGGAGCCCCAGGCTGGGTGCTGGGTGCTGGAACCTCCTCTGACGGGCAGGTGCTGGTGTGCACTGGTGCGGTCCATGCTGGAGCCGGGCCGGGCTGTGGCCTGGCAGCCATGGGAGAGGGAGGTGTCCTTAGAGGTGCCAGATGAGGGGGCTGCCCCGAGCTCTCAGGTAGGAAAACCTTCACGTGGGCTCTGCTCTGGCCCCGGTGCCCCGGTGCCCTGGTGCCGGGCTGGTGGCCTCTGCCACGGCTCTGCCCGTGCTGGTGTCACCGCAGCTCCTCTGCCAGCGCCCGGCCCCTCCAGCAGCTCCTACTTGAACTTGGCGTCCAGCTAAAAGCAGAGCAACCACAGCATGAGCCGGGCCCTTCCCGCTCCCACCAGCAGCGCTTCCCAGCACCAGTCCCCACTGGGAGCAGCACTCTGGGGTTTGTGCTTTACCCCATCGGCATCGCGTCATCCCCCGGGCTCTGGGCAGCACAAGCATTAACCCAAGGGCTGGCCTCGCACACTGCACAATGCAGGAGCCTGACCCCTCCTGCACACCCCAACCCCAGCACCTGCTGCAGGTGAGAAGGACCTGAGTGCTGGACTGGAATCCCAAAGGCAGGATTGAGGAAGTCCCACAGGGAAGATGCATCTGTTGAATACAACTGGGTTCTCCCTGCAGGGAGCAGGCACCAGTGCTGGGCCCAGTGCACAAGTGGGGGCTGGCCCAGCCCAGGAGCTACAGCTGCTGCTTCACTTAAAGAAGCCTGGGAAGTGATTGATGCCAGATGAGGAAGGATCTTCCCAGCAGCCCTAAAGCAATGCAGTCATCACCCCTAGCACTGAACTTGGCATCATTAAGATCTTGCTCTCGTATCATTACTTACTGCTGGAGACCTCGGATCCCAGATGTAAGGGAAATAAAGGATCAATGGGGAAAAGGAGAGCTAAATTATCAGTGGGGAAAAATCTTGTTAACAACTGTGCTGTGGGGTGGAGGGAGCACGCCCTGGCCTGGCTGGCACCAGTGCACCTTGTCCAGTCTCACCCAGCACCAGTGGAGCCTCCCTTTGTTACTGCTGTTCCTTCTCCAGTGAGCAGGAACCCCACTAGACATGGAACCAAAGCGATGGGATGGATGTACAGGGAGAGGGAAGCTGCCCTTGCTTTAGCTCGGTAACCTCGTGTTCCTTTGCCATCAGCAGTGCCCCAGCCTCCTGGCCAGGGACAAAGCAGCTTGAACCCAGCCCAGAGCAGCAGCTCAGGCTGCTGGAGCCTTCCACAGCAGGCACTGCCTCAAGAGCACCCCTGTTCGGTGTCACTGGTGCTGAGTCCTGCTGATCCCCACACAGGCAATGGGGGATGCTCCCACCGGGCACCGCCAGCTCAGGAGCTGCACCTGCACCTGCAGAGCTCTGTTGGTGCCCTTGGGAACAAGCCAGCACCCAGAGGAAACCAATGGAAACCTTTGCAGCACCCAGGTGGGTCACAGCATCCTCCCACCCAGCGCAGAGCCTGGCCCTTCCCCTGCGCTCCCTGTTTCACCTGAGCCCGGTGCATCCTCCCCTCCTGGACCACTGCAGCACCAGCCCATGCGCTCACCCTCCCTGCGAGGCAGCCCCGGGGTTGGGGTTGGGGCCTCTTGGTGCTTTTTAACCTTTCTGCACCTCTCGGGGCCCTGTGAGCGCAGGCTGGGCAGTGGCTGCAGGCTGGGCAGTGGCTGCAAGCTGCAGGCTGGGCAGTGGCTGCAGGGTGGGCAGTGGCTGCAGGCTGGGCAGTGTCTGCAGGCTGGGCAGTGGCTGCAGGCTGCAGGCTGGGCAGTGGCTGCAGGCTGGGCAGTGTCTGCAGGCTGGGCAGTGTCTGCAGGCTGGGCAGTGGCTGCAGGCTGCAGGCTGGGCAGTGGCTGCAGGCTGGGCAGTGGTTGCAGGCTGGGCAGTGGCTGCAGGCTGCAGGCTGGGCAGTGGCTGCAGGCTGGGCAGTGGTTGCAGGCTGGGCAGTGGCTGCAGGCTGGGTAGTGGCTGCAGGCTGGGCAGTGGCTGCAGGCTGGGCAGTGGTTGCAGGCTGCAGGCTGCAGGCTGGGCAGTGGCTGCAGGCTGGGCAGTGGCTGCAGGCTGGGCAGTGGTTGCAGGCTGGGCAGTGGCTGCAGGCTGGGCAGTGGCTGCAGGCTGGGCAGTGGCTGCAGGCTGGGCAGTGGCTGCAGGCTGGGCAGTGGCTGCAGGCTGGGCAGTGGCTGCAGGCTGGGCAGTGGCTGCAGGCTGCAGGCTGGGCAGTGGCTGCAGGCTGGGCAGTGGCTGCAGGCTGGGCAGTGGCTGCAGGCTGCAGGCTGGGCAGTGGTTGCAGGCTGGGACCATCATGCCCCCCCTCCCCGCCCGTGGCCAACCTCAAGCCTGCCCCTACCTGAGACCAGACCCCCCTCTCCCTCAGTAACCCCACCCAAACCCCTGGACACACCCCCACACAGGCACACCCACGCACCCATACACCAAACCCACAGACGTACACCCCCATGCACACACACCAGGAAACATGCCCCTCCCCGTACACCCCCACACACAGCCCCCCACAAACGCATCCCCCCCAGGCACACACCCAGACACACCTGCACACAGAGACCCGCACGCACATGCACCCCCAAACAAGCCCACCCACACACGCCCAGACACACACCTGCACCCTCACACACACCCCCACGCACACCCACCCCCACACCCTCCATACACACACCCCCAAACATACCCCCCCACACGCGCACATCCTCACACCCAGACACACCCCACTTACCTGCACACAGAAACACTGCCTTGCATCACTGAAGAATGTATCATCAGGAAAAACAGATTTCATGATTGATTTTTTTTATTATTTTATTTTTTTTACTTCATGATGAGTACCAGATTTGAAAATACTTTTGTTTGGTTTTCATATTGAAAAGTTTACAAGAGTTTTGAGAGGAGGGGAATTTTGTTGGGAGGAAGATTTTTTCTGAATCTGCCTGTTTTGCACAGCTGTAATTGTACATGTGAACTGTACATGTATTGTCTGAAAATTATAGTAACAGATGACAGCTGACAAAAGATTTTTTTTAAAGCTGTATTTTGAAAGGATTAACAAATAGAAGGATTATTTTTAAGGAGTGCATTTTATATAGAAGTTTCCTGTACATTTGTTATTGATTCCCCCAATATGGTTTGTTTTCTTCAACAGGACAGATTGTTGTTTCAGCCCAGATGATAAAATAGTTGTCACAGGCACCTCTGTTAAGAGAGGTGGAGGCAGTGGGAAGCTTTGCTTCTTTTACCGGGAAACATTGCAGAAGTTCTACGAGATAGAAGTTACAGATGCGGTACGTATTTTAGGGTTTTTTTTTGTCTACTATTTAAAATATGAATGAAGTCAGTGAAACCGTGTGCTTTTTTCCCATTATACAGGTAATGACCAGCTAACGCTATTGTAATTTTTCTACTCCATAATTGAGATGGAGGTACAGTTGCCTGAAGAGGCAGTTTTCTTCATCTTGAAGAATTAAAACAAAAACAAAATCTTAGGAAAAGCACTAGGAGATTTTGTGGCAAAAGGAATGCAACACCAGAAATACCATTTCCACCAGTAGCATAAAAATATAAAATTGCAAATCTCTAATACAAAGGAGTGTGTATGGCTTGAACTGGCTACCTGTTCCTTTGCACAGAAGGGAAAAGCTTAGTATCATAGTTGAAGAAAGTCTTTTCACTGTAGAGTTGTACTCAAGTGGGCTTACAAGAGTATGACAAGCAGATGTGGGAGAAATTTAAACAGAATTGCCATTGCTTATGTATGGCAATGTATGCTTAAGTCCCATTAGTTGTTGCAACCTGTCAGATAGCAACTTTTTGTTGCTTTATTTCAGGATATTGTTTTCTCATTCAGCACTTAACCAGTCTAACAGTCTTTCCTAGTACCGTGGACCCAAACCACTTTATGCTGGAAATCATTTACACAGAATTTGAATTTGTATTGATATTTCCTTTCAAATTCCAATCTCTTCTAATTCACCGTAAAGCAGAATCTGCTTACAGATTGATTTTTTAATGTATAAATTAATTAATTTAATGTTATATCTGTCATTTCAGTCCTGCGAACTAAAAATGCAGAATGCATGTCAAAAGTGGAAAGCATATATTTCTTTTGTGTGGGGAAAAAAAAACAACTGTTTTTATTTTAAACATGAATTCTAAATACAGTTTTTATATGGCTTTGGAGGTTTTATTTAAAGAATTTTAATTATCTTTAAAGAATTTTTCCAAAGATAGTATAAATTCAACTATAAATTTTTCTTCTGTGAAACATTCCAAATATCAACTGAACCCACAGTGATTTCTAGTGGATTTTTATTTTCTGATACAAGTATTATAAGCAAGTATTTGTAACCTTAATATGATGCAAAGCACGGATGCCTTAGTATCCCCTCTGAAACTTCATGGCAGAGAGAGAGAAAGAAAATGACTATATAAAAGTGAAAAAGGTAGATTGTTGTAGGAGCATTTCTGTCCTTGGGCACAGGAAACAAAACAGCTTTGTAATTTCATTCACAATTAATTTGAACTCCTTAGAATGGAGTGTTAGGATGTGGTCATAATGGAATCTCCATTTAGTTGTGGTAAGTCAGTAACAGTGCATAGAAACATCACCTGTTGCAGTTTGAAAACTGCAGGAGTGAGGAGCTTGTCAGTGGTGGATCCTGTATCTCAAAAAAAAAGAATTATTGCTGACCAACCTATCTTTTTTGTGTTCAAAGGAAATATAATTTTCATTTGCTTTGTTTCCGAGAAAAAGGTTTCTTTAATTCTCTGAAATAAAGGAAACATTTACCTGTTGTTGAGGCAGATAATTGTAAAGGAGGATCTGGAAAAAAACATTGTTCTGATGTCAGTTTCTCTCAGAATTCAGAAGTAAATTCCTGCTCATTCTTCTTCAAAATGCAAAAGAGCTATGGAGCTGAGAACCAACAGTAGGAAATGGTTGAAAAAACAAAAGTAGAGGTCAATAAGCAACTTCACTGGGGCCACTCACGTATTAAAATTTTACGTATGTGTACAAATCTCAGGTTCATAATTTTATATAGGTGTTGATATTTATATAGTTCTTTTTAAGACTGCAGTAAATAACTTTTGTCTGTGAAGTTTTAGTGCTGCTGTTTTTCTTCATTTGTAATTATTAAATTTAAAACTCATTCCCCTGCTTTGTATATTATGGATCAAATTTAAATAATGGGAATAATAGCTGAAGGATTGAGACTTAGAAATGCTGATCATATGATGTAATTTTCAGCACTAGTAGTATCTCTACAATAGTCTATCTAGCTTCAACAGTATGTCTAAGAAAAACAGTTAAGCATATCAATGGTAATCTAAAAGAAAAATTACTGTAAGTGGTGTTATAAAATGTAGCATTTTTTTCACAGTCTTACTATTGTTTATATCTTCAGCTTTTCCACTGGTGTTCTTTTCTCGTTCTCAAGTTGCAGTGTTTGATGAAATGTAAATGCATAAATACATGTTAAAAGGAAATTAATTTTTAAGAACCAGTCTTTTGTATTTTTTAAGCAATACATGATGTTTGTTGGAGAGATAATTGGCCTATAAATTGGTAGATTAATATATTGTGTACAGTTTATCAAAGTATTTTTTCAGAAGTGTAGTAATTACTTGCTTTCTACAGGTTACTTTCCTAGTTTCCATTTTTCTTTATAGTCTCTCAAAAACACAGCATTTAGTTTCATAAAAGATAAACACGTAATGTGGTCTAAGATGTGAGTTTGGCCTATGCAACTACATATCATACTTTTTAAACTTTTGTATGTTATGTAATCCTTAAATATGTCATTTCAATCTTTGGGGGGGGGTGTGATTTAGGCATTGCATAGATGAAATTGCATTATGCCAGTCTGTATAGTAAAAGCACAAATACACCAATATCTGTCTCTGCAAAGAGCTTGATCTGCTCTTATTCCTCATGAAAATAATTACAGTGATTTCAGTTGGATTTAGTCCAACTTGCTAAAGAAAAAGGGCATAATTATTTACTTCAAGTCTAAAAAGAAAATAGTAAGTCTTTCTGAGGTCAGTTGCATACCATTTTAATGGTAGAGCATACCTAATCAAAACAAAATAAAATCTACTATGAAGAGAAAACAAACTGTTAATGTGTTACTTTTCTAATTTCACAAAGATTTCTGAATGGAAGTGCTGTAAACTGAGAAAATTGAAAAAACAGTAAAGTGCTGTAAACATTATCTTTACCTTCCTTGGTAAATAGCTAGTGCAATTGGCCTGTAAATGAACCTAGAGGGTAATGGGAAAATACTTAATGGGAATGTTTGACCAAAGCTGTGTCTGGCATTCCTTTCTATCATACCACACAAACCTTTTTTCACCTTTTCTTTCAAGTTTTCATGGGAAAACCCATTACTGCTTAAGAGCTGCTGGAGTGAAACCTGATGTTTTACTAATGGACTAATAGTCTGATTAGTCTCTGCTGCTGTGGCTGGGTATAAAATATTAATTTGCTTCTATTAGTTTTTATTTGTTTTGAAGAAAAACTAAATAAGTGTCAGAAGTGGTGAAGACCATGGGCTCTGCGTCTGGTCAGGAGCAGGGTCCCTTCAGGAGGAGGTGTGAACAGGGCAAATATACAGTGAATACACAGTAATGCTTTTCTAACTACCCCCTGTGACTTGGAGATACCTTAATGCAGACACAGGAATTTTACAATTAATAGTATTAATGGATTTTTTTTCCATGAGTTTATCAAGGAATGAAGTACCCATGTAGCAGGTCACTGGCAGGATCATTTACTTACTGCAGATTAGATAAAAACTTAGGAGTGAGAGATCTGCCTCTCCCACTCTTATAAGGAAGTTGATGCTCTACGTGCAGTACTTCAGCCTTACTCTGGCTCAGTGCATACAAGTGTCATTGGACATTATGAAGGCTTTGTACTGTGAAGATAATTATGTAAGCTAAACTGTAGGGGCAGCTCTTTTTAACATTTATTATGTGCTTGTAGCTTTTTCACAGTTTTTCTGTCTGTTTCTTCTTTCTTGGCAATATTATCTGTGAACAGTTATTGTTCTTTTGTTTTCACCACGAATATCCAAAAGAAAATATGTTAACATTTCTCACTTTGAGCATTTCAGACTTATCGTGTGTGAAAGATTTTTAATTGTAACTCCACTCTCTGGAATAAAAGGGAGATTTCATTTTCAGATGCAAGTCAGGGAGGGTTAATTCCTAGTTCTTGTTTTGGTTATGCAAGTTTAAGATCTTCATGAGAACCAATTACAAATACCTAATGTGTGGGAAACTGAGTTGGGTACACAACATTTTCCCCAGTGTCAAATTAATTGAAAATGGCTGTGGACAGCCACTTGAATGACTCTGATGTCTATTGTTAGTTTGGCTATGTCAAACAGATCACCCAGTAGTTATCCTTCTTAAGTCACAATTGATTTTGGCAGCTGCAGAGCAGCCATCTTCCCCCTATAGAAAGGAGTAATAATACATCCATTACTGCCAAGCAAGAGTGGGCACTGCAAAAGTAAAACAAAATCCAGAAGCTGTACAATTACAGAAATTGCTATTTTAAAATGAAAATGTAAGTGATAATTTAATCTAAAAATGCACAATTTTTAGATAGCATACATTATAAAATGAGATGTGCAAGTTTTTAAAATAGCATGCACATTTTTGTGTACATGAAACAATCCAATGACATAGATTTGTTGGGTTTTGGGGAAACCTGTTTCTGTTAGGAGGATTGTGCAATATTTTCTTAGTTTCTCAAATGAAAGCAAAAGTTAAATTATTAAATACATCTGAAAATACCTCTAAGGGATGTTTCAAGGAGGTCTTCTGAGACAAGCTATAAATAAAGCTTCTTTTTAGATTAAAGAATGAAAAGGAAAGAAGGAGTAAGGAATATGAAACTTCCAGCATCCTTTATGCACAGTTGATATAAGATTGCAGTATTCCTTTCGTTGACCTCAAACGGTATCATTTACTATTTATAAGGTGCAGTAATATAATAAAGGGCTTTTCCACTGTGGCCCATTTCACTAAGATTTAAAGCTTTTGAATTTAAGGAAAATAAATTTGTTTAACTTCTGGAAGAGATCATCATGCTACTTTTTTTTTTTTTAGCCATTTATTTTATTTGAAAGGAAAATCCACATTTTCAACAAGGAAGTAAATGCCGTCTTTGAGATTCACATTTTTTGTGCTCATTAAATTAAAAAAGATGATCTAGCATAAAATGTGAATCACACATCACAGGGAATGTGTTTTCCAGTACAGTAAAGTGTCAGTT